TTAACACCGACACAATCTCTTTTCTTATATTGTTCAGCTAATCTAGATAGGTGTTCATCATATAGTTTTCTTTTTTTATTAGCTGTTTCTAAATAATTATCTGTCGCTTTACGTCTTACATCTGCATTTACGTTGTAGATCAATCAAGTCTGAGGTTTAATCAGCCTTCAGTCATTCATCAATCATTATTTTTGAGGAAAGAATGAAGCGAACAGTGTAAAGAGACTTTAAAGACTAGTTTGATTAGTTTACGACTGAAAAAACCATTAATTTTCTTCTGTTATTCTCTTATTCTGGGTGTACTATATACCTTATTCACATTGCATCATACTCTGCTCGACAGTTGTGTGTGTGTACGTCCAAATTAATGATAGTATATAGTCTCTACTTTTGCCAATTTGTCGAAACACTTCAAATTAATTATGGCGTCTTCTTCGTCTACTACACAACCATCTTCTTCCATTTCACCTGCAACTTTTTCTTCTGCTTGTACTTCTACTTTCCCGTCAGATACACATGAAAAAAAATTTTATGATGAAGTTGAAAAATATGTTAATTCGTTACAACAGAAATATCGAGATAAAACTTTCATAAAAAAACAAACGTGTGATGACATTTTGAAAGTTTTGTTACTTCCAAAAGGTAAGACTGGAGATTCTTCATCTGTTAAATTTAGATTTTGGTGCAGGCAAAAATTTTCTATTGTGATACGATGCGAAGTTGTAAATAACGAGAAATAATTTTTATTTAAAAAACACCATTCCATTCATATATAATATAATCATAGCTAAAATTTGATGTTAGTGTATATAATGATAAATCGAGAATTTTTGTTATACAAATTCATCAAAATCATTGGCATCCAATTTGTTCAACTACGTTTAATAAAAAAAGATTAAACGTATTTGTTTAAAAAATGTCAAGTTTTGATGCTGAAACGCATCAATATCAAAACAAGACCTTGATTTTATTTTTGTCTAGACATATTATAACACGAATAGCAATGACAATATTAAATGATCGATTGATTAACAATTACAATATTTAACGTAACTTGTTTTCTTTTGTTTGTAGAACCTTGATTAAATGATCATAAAATAAAAATCGTACTATCGTCTATTCAGATATGTTTTTATAAAGGATATGAATTCTTTTGATCATCAAGATGTGATCAGCAACCTTAGAATTATTCATTTCTCAACCAGCATACAATATACAAAATATGTACCGTGTGAAGAAAAACAACGTATTTACAAACTTTGGATATCTTTTACCTTTTCATTTCGTTAATGGTTGAATAGGTGTTCTATCATTAACTCGTTAAAAAATAGCACATTCAAACCGTTGGCTTGTTTAGATATTTATTCTTCTCATCAGTGGCTTATGTTTAATGATTTTCTGACATGGCAAAAAGCCTGTTGATTAGTCGTACCATAATGAATAATTTTTAAGGGTGCTGATCACAATTTGGTGACCAAAATCATATTTTATCTTTTATTAATTTTAGAGGACATTTATAAACAATTTTCATTTAAATAAAACTATATTCTTTTAAAAATATATTTCAATTTTAATATATTTCAAGACGATTGAAAGTACTGGTAGAATATTGGAAATAATTCATTAACACGTTGACTAGGAAAATAATCATATGATTCTCGTACAAAAAGTGATTCTTTTAAAACTTGTTCCAAACGAAAATTATCTTTTTTTCTCGTAATTAAGTATATCATACGAAAAAGATTATCATCAATATACAAGCGTTTACTATAAAATTTAGTCAATGTGATAACAATAATGAATGATTAATAGATAATAACAAACTTTTCAAATTATTATGTGTGCTAATTACAGTAATTACTTAGTAAACTGTTTACAAACGATGAGTTCTTTCTTGACAGTAAAAAGAATACTTTTTTTATTTTTGTCTATGAATTATTTTGTTTCTTATAGCTTATTCGTTCGTCTTAAATTGGGCTTAGAGGGAACGCTATAGATTCAACATTGTATTCTGGATCTCATCGATACTAAGACGGCACTTTCTGTTAATATAACAAAGAGTCTATAAATGGCGCACTTTTGTTCTAAGATTTTCTTCACTGTTGTTCACATCCACTAAAAACTTGTGAACAGACTCATTCGAATGAGAATTTATTTTTCTACAAAAATAGCTAGTTTAATTAATGAACAAATTCTGCAACAGACCAGTCTCTAGGAAACTTTCTAAGACCTTTTTATATAGTAGACAAGGAGGAGCTGTGTCCATTAAAAAAATCGAAAATTTTCGCTTCAGAACAGGAGGCCCTTGATGAAATAGTCTTTTTTTTTTGTTCTGGAGTATGGCAGAATAAAATGAATTAAATCAATGGAAAGATAAATTCTCTTCTAAAATAATGTCAGTTTTACACTTTGAATACATCAAAATAAATTTCTTCGTAGAATTTTTCAGCTATTATGATACTTTAACATTTTCTGATTAAAGTTATGATTGGAAGTGGTAATTTTTCTTCTAATAACATAAGATATCATATAATTTACGGTTGTTACTCAAAGCAAAATTGTCCAAAAAATATAATTATTTACTTAATGAACTTCGTTGTTCATATACATATTCTACATCGTATATGCCGTTAAAAAGAGCTCTTCGTCATGTCGTCATGAAGGCGTTAAATCCTATGTGATGCGATTACAATTCAAACAGATGCAATGTTAACAGGAGCGAATCGTGAATTTCGTACTGTTGATCTAACAACTAGAAAATTAACCGAACAAGAGAAAGGCGTATTAGAATTAGGACTAAACTTTATACCAACTACGGATATTGATCCAACGAAATATGTGGCAAGGGTGATTGCGGGTGTCGAACTTGGTCTGTATAAAAAAGACGTTATACAAAAAAAACAAATTGTTTCAGAAATGAGAAATACCATTGGTAGAAGTTTAAATTAAGCTCTAGCTAGTGCTAAAAAGACTAAAAATGTCGATAAACATCGGAAACAGGCGCTTCGGAGTTTGAAAGGAGATGATCGTACTTTAGTGATATCAGCAGATAAAGGTGGTAAGATAGTAGCAATGAATACATCAGATTATAAGACTAAGATAGAAGACAAATTAAATAGTAGTACATATACAAAATTAAGTGGAGATCCAACAAAAAGTTTTTTAGGGAATTAGCTAGTTTATTCCAATTAGTTTTAGATAAAAAAGAAATTGAACCAAAACAATATAAAAAGTTCAAAAAAGAAAAGACAAATTGACCTTTCGTTCGCGGGCAAATAAAACTTCATAAAAGTGACAAACCAATGCGGTTGATTGTTCCAATGCGCAATACAATCGGATCATTGTTAACCAAATTTCTAACAAAAAGTTTACGAAATTTAGAAGAACAAGTACGAGCGATAACAAATACCAGAAGTTTAACTGAGCAGATATATAAAGTCAAAGTAGTAGATTCTAGAACGACTTTAGCGAGTTTAGATGTAGTCAATTTTTTTACGTCAATAGATCGAGATGAAGCGATAAGAGTATAATCAGAAAAGTTAAAAGAAGATCAAAGTTGGAAGAGTATCACAGGATTAAGTGAGGAAAGCATCATCAATCTAGCTCAATTATGCATAGAAAACGTACACTTTCAATTTGGCAGAGGCGGCGGAATGATTCTGAAACTATACAAGGTTCTCAAATTTGGTTGCGATATATTTTCCAAGTAACATTTTAAATTTTGTCTTTTTCATTATTTTTTTTTCGCTTTATGCAATGTGCCTATACTTTTTTTTTCAGTCAATGTCAGTGTGGCATTGTCAGTCCAATAGTTTTTATTTCATAATTTTCTATATCAAACATTTCCAGTTTTTCAAATATAAACTTAAAGACATGAATCATATAACATTTGTCCATTCTTTTATCCAAATATTTGTTTGAGTTGATCTGGTGTAAAATGAATTTGTAGTTGTTCACTTGTTTCTGTTTTAACTGGCCGCTGTTGTTGTTACAGTTTTTCTCTTGGCAAATCAATTATTTTCTGTTTCTGCATAAATTCTTTTTCATCATTTTTATAAATAAAATATTGTCCATTTGGTTTGGTTATAGTTCCAGTAACATGACTGATTAACACATACCTAAATATATTCCATTTTCGACACCAAACTGTCTCGCAGCATAATTACAAGAAGCTATTTCAGCACGAGAATAAAACTGATCAGTCTGAAATAGAAGAAAAATAATAAAAAGATTCTAATTGTTAACCAAAGTTTACCGTTGTCGTTGAAGTAGATGGTCGAATTCTTTTGGAATTGTGATAGCAATGAGTTGATCTGGGAAAAAAAGAGCATTTAGTGAATGGTGAAGGAACAACAAATTTCTATTTCTATCTCTTTTGTGCTAAATAATATTTCGCTATTGGCATTCAGACTATTGATCTTTGTTAGATGAGCATAAGAAAAGATTTATCACACATAGACTGATTGTATTTTTGACAAAGAAAAAAACTAGTTACTAAGAAGGTTTACGTTTTGAAGAACAACATGCAAACAAAAAAGACAAAATATCACGTAGCCAGTTTCGGCTGAAGAAAAACGCAATCAAGTAAAGAAAAAAAAATAGACAGTTTTTAAACAATAATGTTCTATACCATGGAACTAGGGGTGTTAATTTAGTGTTACTTCGGAAAATAAATGTAAATGAATCATTTATACTTAAAAAATAAATATAAATAAATGAAAAAAAAATTTATCTTTATTTTATAAAAGTAAATGATCCATTTATCTTTATTTATTTATTTGTACCTTTATTTTTAAAAATAAATAAATAAATATAAAGGAATCATTTACTTTTATAAAATAAAGATGAATTTTTTTTCATTTATTTATATTTATTTTTTAAGTATAAATGATTTATTTAGTTTTATCCATTATTATAAATGAAAAATAAAACTAAATTAACACCCCTAGTGCAAAAGGACTACACAGTGGACACTTCTGATTTACTATTTCACTTAGTTGTGCTGCTTACTCTTTACATTGTATAACTTATGGAGTTTACTGACTTGATGTGAGGGGGGAAAAGATCCGCCTACCTTTTGTTGATATTGACGTCAGTATTCTTATTCATACTGATTTAAATGTATGTTTAAGTTAATATTGATTTGTTAGTATAAATATGAGGTAGGATGGAGAAATCAGCGATCGAAATCAAATCACGCTTACCAATATTTGAATTTCGGGCAGAAAAAATTCTTTTTCGCTTTGCCTTTGTTTTATTATTTTTTAGCTTCAAGCAAATTAAACAAGAAGAAATCCGAGAACCTGCTATTTTATCGGTTCAAATGTTTTTTACCAGTGCATTTACTTGCATGTTTAAGTATTTCGACCGATTTTATCTCAGGTTTAGGATAGTTCGTCGATGGAACAATTATTGGATTGTTTTTCTCCAGCATATTTTCTTTTTTTTAAATAAACAAAATGAAAATAAAAAGGGGGAGACGAGAGAAAGAAAGAGAGATGTATACTGAGATCATCACGCTCCTGAACAGAAAGGCGGGTAAAGTCTGATGGTCCCACCTTATTTTTATCTTTGTGCTAAGAGAAAACGAAATAAACAAATAGGTTATGTCGTTGTTCGATTTACTTGTTGTGTATAATGTCTCTTGATGAGATATCAGTCGGAGCGCCCAGCCCAAAATGCATAATAGAATAACACTGTCCTCGGTTCAAAACTTTAAATTTTCCCACATTATGTCTGAACGACTGTACTTCAAGCAGAGAATTTATCCCTAAAATATTTTCTTTACTCAAGTGGTTCCTTCTTCACTAGGCTGTCTATGTATCTGACGACTGGTTAAAAAAATGGGCAAATTAATAATGTAATAAAGTCAGAGAAATCAACCATATTTAATGTCGTTTCCATGTGATATTCCCTGTATACGATAGTTTTGGATTCTGAGTGCATTAACTTCCGATCTACTAATTGCAGAAGAGTTTTCAAAATTCCAGAAAATAAAGATAGGTGAAGCACTAAAATCTAAACACTTTGGTGTCTATGTGGAACTTCACTTTCACACTTTGTAATGAGCAATTTTATCTCGTGTTCTGAGCAGTTTGGACACCATTGTCACCCAGACTGCATAATGAACCCAGAAAGGAAACAGAGTTTTTCCTATGTCACCATCAGACAACAGCGAAAAAGACATTTTCATTAGTATTCTGTAATAGCTGAATAGGCTATACGTGTGCGCAGCAAATTATTATAGTTACACGTGCGCAGGTTCGATTCCTGTTCAGAGCAAGTTTTTATTTACTTTTTCTTTCCAAAAATCTAGCCAGTTTTCTGAAGTACCCAGACTCAAAACACATGCCGTACTAAGTAACCAACTATGGCGGATCTGAATATGCAATCCGTTTCTACCGAACTCCTTTTAAAAGTTTTACTTGTTCGGTGATATGCATAACAATAAAAGAGCAAAGCCTGCACATAAATGTTTACATGAATGCGTCACTAGTGTATTATTCTGTCCCATTTAGAGTAGCATAGCTGAAGAAGCAGAAAACATGCAAAGTTACAGCCCTATAAGCGGTGATTCCAGTACTGATGATATGTCCGAACGTTCAGGATGTACTTGATTGTATGTATTTCAATGGAATCAAACATATTAAGCATATATTTCTCTTGTAGAATCCAAGTAGTACAGATTCCCTTGAAAATAATCGTAACAACGAAACACCAGGCATGAAATGGAAAAAGGTAACAGATTTACCCTTTTTATACATGATGTTTTGCTGATAAATGATAAATGCTGCTGTTATCGCTATAATCTTCTTGTTCAAATCATCACCCATTACTCCCAACCAGCCTTCCGAGGGGTCTTTCGAACGCTCGTTTTACGTGTTCCGATGGGCCTCGAACGCTTATTTCGAGGGATCGAAGTGCCATTTTCCGAGGGGGTTTAGTTCGAGTGCTCGTAACCTATCGGAATTTTTTGTTTTCGATCTCTCGAAATGACCTTTTAGATGGGTTCTAAACGCCTTCTAAACGCTCGAAAACTATGGAGAAAAAAAAAACGAAGCGGCTTATATAGTATGCACTCCAAATCTATTTCGAGCCCTCAGAACCTAACGGAATGGATATCTAAACGAAACAATTACAGTAGATAGGTAGATTCGAACACAGGCACTTGTAAGTTACTTACCTTCACTTCAACCAGATGAGCTAAATATGAATTGTGTTCTATAGATAAAAAGAGGCTTTTAAATAGAATATAAAACAGTTCATTATTAGATATTAGTTTTGGGTGTTTAATCTGATTCTTAGATATGCTAGATGTTGTTGTTATGCTTTTATGCGGATTTCTTTTATTCTACAGTGTTAAGCTATTCGCCTGCGGTTCTGTTTAGACATTATTGCTAAACTCGATCATTCTGTTTGAGAATTTGGCTTCTTGAGTATGCTCCTTTACTATTTTAATACACAAAATTAATACGAAAAACATCATATAAAACAAATGTGCAAAAATAGAAAAGAAATAACACAGATTAACTACTTTCTTTGAGATTAGAGTATTCTAAAATATGAGCAGTTTCGTCGTTATTCAATATTCTAAATGCATGTACAAGCGATTCCAAAATTAGAGCGGGAGATGTCACTCTAAACTACAGCTATTCCGTTTTTGCTATAAATCATTTAGCTGAACTGGCTCTGCGGAATCAAAAATCCGTAGATGTCTCGGAATTTAACTTCCGAGAAGTTGTTGATTTTGAGGACTCCAATTATTTCGATTCGAATTAAAGTCAAAACTTATTCTCTAGAAACAAAGTGTAAAATCTTCGATCTCTCGGAAATATCGATGGGTTTAGAGAGATCGAAATAGTCATCGAGGCCTCGAAACTCAACATTAGATAGGCGACTGACCTCGAGCCCTCGAATATTCCGATCGGTTTCGATGGTTCGAAAAACTG